GCTCTCATTCGGCAATTCGACCAGCCTATCCTTATTTTGCAGTTTCCCTCCAGTAACTTTTGTGCTGCAGCTGCTGGTAGTGACACTGTGGCTGTCTGTGTACCCCTAAAGGCTTTACGGATCTTGATTGCCTCTAGTGGGATTTCACAACTTTCTCCAGCTTCCCTCTTTAGAGCGGTCTGAATATGCTCTTTCGTCGTGTCGTCATCGACATCTCGGATCTCGATGGTTTCCTGTGGCCCTTTGCAAATCATTTTGGCCTCCTCCTAAGGATGTCCACGATCGTCTTTTGCAGACCTTGGCCTTTGTCAGTGCTCTTCCTCGAAATCGTAATCAACAAGTCTCCACTTCTGGTCTTTTTGATCTTATCCACAGTTGAACGAACCTGCTCATCTGGGACGTCCTGCTTTATGCGACGCAGAATCTCAGCATACTTTGTTTTCTCGGCCGGGCGGATGATCAGTGCGTCGGGTCTGATCCATTTGCGGGGTTTTTTCCGCTTAGGCTCTGGCCTGGGCTCCTTCGGCGGCTGCTTTGAGAGTTGCTCTCTAGCTAGCCTCCTCTTCTCCTTCTTAAACTGTACTTTTTCCCAGTCAGTCGTTTTCTTGGGTTCGTCGCCCTGCCCTGCCAGTTGTTAGGGAGGGCTTTTTTTCAGGTCCTTCTTCTTTGTGACTTTGTCGGTTGGCTCTGGCGAATCTCGGTCCTTTCTCTTTCCAGACCTTGTGTCATTTTCATCCTGGTCCTCAGCAGCAGATTCATCGTCACCGTCGGCTCCAGTGCCCATTGCTTCTTCCGTCTCAACTTCAGTTTCAATGCGGCGTCGTGATGACTGCCATTCCTCGTCCAGTTTCTTGAATCTTCCAAGAGCATTGACTACACCGGTTGTCTTGGTCTTTATCTCCTTTTGGATATTGACCTTAGTTTGGACAAACTCTTGTAGCTCAATGGTTAGCTTTTCAAGGCGCTCTAACGCTTGCGTTCTCTTCATTTCAGCGCTTGCTTCAATCGCTCCTTGTTGGGAATGAAGCCCATTTTTATTCTTGTTTGTTTCCTGTAAATGACTCATACTTTTTGATTCACCAGCGCATCGTACGGAGAGGAGCGGGTTGTCATAACTAGGAGCGGGTGTACCCTCGGAGATAGTACTCCTACCCCAGTTCCCTGAGGCCTAGCCGACGCTTAGCCAGTCCCGGAATACACGGACGGACTAGACTCGCTCGGGGCGGTGAAGATTCCGATCTCTAACACTCACTGCGTACTTCCTGATCAAGGCCCGAAGTGACTGGCTCCTGATCCACTACTGCAACTTACACCTCGGCAGAGCAAGCTCACATCAGCCGTGGCCTGCATCGTCGGAAACTACGATACAGGTTCCGGACACTCCCAGTGAGTTACAGGAGGGACCGATCGTCTTGTTAGGTCAGTTAGTGTGACCAACCCATTAAAGGGGAGTTTGGTCCACGGGAGCGTATTTTGTTTGGTTATTTTGCTTGGCTCCTACCCACTGTACCTCATCAACTAAGAGATTAAGTGTCATCCAAGGACAGCGAACATCCTCCCATCCGCTCGGGGAGACGCGCCCGGTAGCAGTATCTCCCGACGTGTGTGTGTGTGTGTGTGTGTGTGTGTGTGTGTGTGTGTGTGTGTGTGTGTGTGTGTGTGTGTGTGTGTGTGTGTGTAAATCTCTCATAATTTTTGAATGGATCATCCGATTCGATCGAAATAGGCGCTGTTCTGAAGAGTTCCTTTGTCCCTAGAATTCTGATAATAATTTACAGAATTTGAGTTGATCAATTTTGAGAAATCTTAAAAATAAAATTTCCAAAAATTCGTTTTTTTGAAATATCTTTTAAACGGCTAAACCGATAATTTCCAAAATCTAATCAGCTCTCAACCTCAAAAAACCACGTCGATTGCCACCAGCTCAGTCAAAATCGGTTGATTTGTTCGTGAGATATCGTTGTCGAAAAAAATTGAAAAAAATGTTTTTTTTAGAATTTCTATGAAATTTTTAGTTTGACCAGTTTACGCTTGAAGATTTTTTAAAGAACCTAAAAAACTGCGTTGAACGCCGTAAACCGCGAGAAAATCGGTTAATTCATTCAAAAGTTATTGCGGTTTGAAAATTCAAAAAATAGTGTTCTATAAAACTTTCATTAGCCTTTTGAGCTCGAAAAGCTCAAATGCACGGAACAGCGATTCATTTGAGCTCGGGGAGCTTAAAATTACACAAAAATTTTATTTTTGAGCTCGATGAGCTTAAAAAATAAGTGAATTGTTGAGCACTTAGGTATGGAGGTAGCGGGAAGTTGCAGGGATGGCCTTTAGGGTCAACCGTTTTTCTAATTTTTTTCTTGACAAAGCTATACATTGCTACTAGTTTAAAATAAAAAATCAGTTATGAAAAAATTTTTTACGCTTTCTATCGCACGTAAACAATCAAAAATAGAGATTTCCTGTAATTTCAAAAGGCGTCATTATAAGCTAAACGTTATATGGATAGGCATATTTTTCAGATGAAAATTGAAATTATGTTTTTTAATGAATTGATAACACAAATAATAACTTATGATTTACTTCCTTAATCTTAGAGATTGATACTCCCTGAAAATTTTATGTCAATGATGCTCAAGCTTAATTTTATATTGAAACTCGTTTCAGCTTTCATATTAGCTCTCTAAACTTAACTATACCTTGTTTGCTTGATTTATATTTCTTGTAATTATAATGTGTAACATAAATTGATTCTTTTACTTATAGATTTTACAATAATGTAAAACTATACATTTTTTCACGAAATACTTGAAAAAAAATTCCACATACGTTCATTTCACAGTAATTCTTGCGAGTAAAGTCTTCAGGAACTATTTTCAGATTAAAAGTTTTTTTTCTCTTACATTGTATTTAACATACAATATTTGACAACATGCAATATGTATAGTGATAGCAAAATATGTTCCATATAGGCTCCGAAACAGCTGGACCGATTTTAATGAAACTTTCAGGGAATCTCCAGATTGACCTGTAATTTCGAGTGTAATTGGTGTAAGATCATATGGGAAAATGAACTATATTATGTTCACTGTTGAGCATAATAATTTTAATTATATATGTAATGATATTGGGGATTATTCGGCACTTTATATTCTCAAACTTAATAAACATCAGGTAAATTATTAGTTAATTCATATCATTAGAGATATGTAACTTAATATTAAATAATTTTTATTGAACTTTTATTGTGAATATTCAAGCAAGCCCTATTTGTTTTTGCGTTCATCGTCGAGACAATATTGTGTTAACTAATATGTTTATGGGTGTAGGTGATGATCTTCACCTGGCAGAAAAACGAATATAAGAAAATTAGGACGACAGTTGACCCTAAAGGCCATCCCTACAACTTCCCACTCATTTTTTACTTAAGCGCTCAAAATTACACATTATGTTTTTGAGCTCCTCGAGCCCAAAAATATGATTTTTGTGTCATTTTTAGCTCTCCGAGCTCAAAACTCTAATAGCAGTTTAATAAAACACAATTTTTTGAATTTTCAAACCGCAATAACTTTTGAATGAATGTACCGATTTTCACGCGGTTGGCAACATTCGACGCAGTTTTTGAAGCCTCATGAAGAATCTTTGAGTATGGATTGATAGAACTAGGAATTTTTGAGTGATTCCAAAAAAACACTTTTTCAGTTTTCTTTCGACAACGATAACTTACGAAGGAATCAACCGATTTTGACGGGGCTGGCGGCAATCAACGTGGTCTTTCGTTGTTAAGAGCTGATTAGTTTTTAGAATCGATCGATAAAGCCGTTTGAAAGTAAATCGAAAAAAACCACATTTGAAAAAATTTTTGTTTGTAGTTTTTTTTAGATTTCTCAAAATCTACCGTCTCGAATCGGTCCAAAGTGTATTAAAACAGCTGAGTTTATTTGGGCCCTTGGTTAATAATTAAATTCCTGTATGCTTAAATAAAGCCCGACGAAGCGGGCTGGGTACGCTAGTATTATATAAAAAAAAAGTTGCCCTGATATTGGGTCTGTGAATCGCTTATTACTTTTAACTATCATGTTAATCAATTGATAACTGTTTTGTAATGTTTGAAATACTTTGCTTACTTTAGATTTTCTTGAATTTTGAACTGAGCGATCTTATAAGTTTATCAAAATTTCCTTGAAAGATGTTTTTTTTTTTTTCCTAACAATTCTTAAACTATTTTGTTGATCAGCTCCAAGATGTGATCAAAACCGTTCAAGTAGTTAATTGGTTTTCCCTCATTGAAATGATCAGTAGTTACTTTGGTGTTCATTAGTATAAAAATTCTTTTACAGCCAAAAATAGGAAGGGGAGGTGAAAGAGATCGCATTTCGGCTACTCAGAGTACCGATGAGGGTTGACCAGTAAAGAGCCAAGTAAAAAACGGGCTGATAGCCAAAGACTGCTAAGCTATTATAGTATTAGATTAGATAAAAGTTTTCGAGAAGATCTGTACTACCGTTTAGTTTTATTTTGGCTGAGCATCTGAAGGTATTCAGTAGTAGATTCACTTCACGGATTGATTTCTTCACAAAAGTAAGTGAAATTTAATAAAAATAAATGTGTTAGAATTGCAATTAAGTCAAAAAATATATTTCTAAAAAGCAAGTGGATACAAATATTAGAATTAGGGTAGTCGAGTGTTTTTATTCATCAATCATAAACTCAATCAAAATGCACATTGAGTGATACTAAATGTTTTATTTATATCATTTCAATTGGGTCGGTAGTGCGTCTTAATCACCGTACGACATTTCAGCTGTCCATAGTTAAAACAATATAACAGTATTCTGAATTGCAAAATTTTAGGATTTGTTTTCAATTAGTAAATGAAAGTGTAGATAATCAAATAATTTTTATTATTTTCATATTAATTTTTACATTTTTACAGAACAATCGACTTTGAAGAGGACTCTCCTCGGAAATAACCACGGTAATAAGAGATCAAACACCGTGTCACAATGGAGGCCATAAAGAAAAAGATTGCAGCATTAAAGCAAGAGATGGATGCTGCGAATGAAAAAGTTGAAGCCAATGAAACCAAAGCTAAACAAGAAGATTTTCGCGCAGATTTATTATTTGATGAAGCCAGATCTCTTGCACAAAAGCTTATAACAATTGAACGTGATTATGAAGTTGCTAAAGTTAACCTTGAAACAACAACAGCAGCTTTGGAAACATGTGAAAAAGCATATACTAAGGTAAAGCGGCTTCTAATTTACAGTTCATAAAATAAAATAAAATAGTAAAATATAAGTGATACATTTTTAGGCTGAACAAGATCGAACCGTTTTAACAAAAAGAGTTCAAGAAATTGAGGTAAGTCTGACGAAGAAGGAAGAATTACGTCTTCTGGCAGCAGCAAAATTAGTACGTGCTACTGAACTTGCCGATGATGCTCAGAGGTTATAATCACTTATTGTTGTTCATTATTTATGATAATTAATTATTAATATAACATGATCCTTTTATTTATCTCAGAATGTGTAATGTATTGGAAGATCGAAATCGAATAGTTCAAGAACATATGGCGAAACTTACTGAAGAACTGAAAGATGCTAGATTAATTGCTGAAGACGCCGACGCAAAATCCGAAGAAATTGCTGAAAAGCTGTCACTTGTTGAAGAAGAACTTGAAAATGCTGAAGAAAGAGTGAAAAACAGCGAAGCGTTAGTATCCTTATTTGTAAGAAGTTTTCATCTGATTTTTATTCAATTATACTTTCAACTAATAATTATTGGCTTATGCACAGAAAAATTATTGAACGAGAGGATGAATTATTCATTGTTCAAAATATATTTAAATCTTTAGAAGTATCAGAAAAAAAGGTAATTTTTATTCAGTTATGAAAATTTATAATGATTTATTAAAATTAGTAATTTCGGTAATTTTAGGCTAATCAACGAGTAGCTGATTCTAAAATTCAAGTAAAAGAATTAAAAGCCGCCCTCAAAGCCGCTGAAAAGCGTGCTATCCAAGCTGAAAAAACTGTAAGAGCATTGCAGAAAGAAGTTGATCGAAAAGAAGGTAAATAAAAAATAAATGAAAATGATAATCATAAAATCATCATATTATTTAAAAAATTCTGAGATGTTTATTTTTTTTAACAATAGTAGAGTCATGCTGTTATATTATCAATTAATAGATTATTATCAAAATTGAGACGTGATGAATCATACAGTTAGTTCGATAAAATCTGAAACAAAACAAAAAAATTATCAGAATATCATTTACAGTTTATTTAAATTAGGATTGTATTTTTCAGATGAACTAAGAGAAGAAAAAGAAAAGTGCAAAGCTATAATTGATGATATGGATTTAACGTTTGCTGAAATGACAGGATATTAAGGTCAAGAAAGATTAAAAATAACAAATTACATTAAAAATTGGACAGAATTTTTTTTTACGAAGCGCTACATAAATTTACTTTGCATTAAAACAATAGCTGGAACGTTATTTTAGTCTTAGCCCTTTGGCTTTGATCGAGCACTAACTATCTAATGAGAATACTTCAATCCTGGCCTTTTACAATTTAAAAATAACCTCTTATGTAGGGTGATACTTGTGCGAATCGCTTAAGCATTATTTTATTTTGTCTCACGCACTATTGATATAATTAACAATGCTGATGCATGATGTTGAACGAAAACTTGTTATTTTTATTTATTTTTTTTTTTTTTTTCAATAGAAATAAGCTTTTTAACTGCTTTTAAATTAAAACAAATCGATCAATTTGTTTATTTACTTCCAGAATTATAATTCGATTTTACCAAATCGATAATAATAATAATTTCATCACCGACTTTTTTTTTGTGATGTTAACTTCTATTAATACTGTATAAAAATAGATTGATGTACTGTCAATAAATGTTCAGATTCAAAATAGAAAAAATTTTGATTTCTTTTATTCTTACTATCAGTGCATTTTGCAATCTAAAAATGATAAAAGCACCAATCATTGACACGTGTCTATGTCTAACAAATATAAATAATGCTGTGAAGCGGGAAAGAATAGGAGTTACGGATAATTATTACGTGAAGCGTTCCAATATTCACGTAACAGGATAATTGGTAGGAAAGGATTGAGAAAGGATTGTGGAGAGGATCATCTTAATGTGAGTGTATAGAATATGCGAGAAAAAATTATTAGATAGCTCGGACTGGGATTCGAACCCAGAACCTTCCGAAGACATGTCGGCTACTCTACCATTTGAGCTATCCGGTCTATACTAAATTTCCTTTCACTTATTCTATATACATTAAGCCACACCGTCCATCTTACGGCTAGCATTTTTAACAAATATAAATAGTACTATAAGAGACATGAGGAGGATTTCAAATTATCATACATATTGCACGCCTCATAAGCGAAGCGTTGAGGTTGTGCTCTAATTTCGAAATTTCAAAAAAAGCAGTTTTCTCGAAACTGAAATTGATTTTTTGTCATTTATATCGCACTTACAGATTAACATGAGTACACTTATATCAAGTCAAATAATTTGTCAGGCACATAAAATATATTTCAATAACAATTTTTTTGTTTAACATAGGAAATAATAACATTAAACATAATTTTTTCTGGATGTCCGTGTATGGATGGGTGTATGTGGTAGGTAAATTGGTCGAAGAAATGATCGTACCGGAATAATTTTTTTTTTTATTATCTAAAGTAACACACGACGGATTTTATTAATTAATCGATTTTGAGAAATCTTAAAAAAACTGTGAAAAAAAATTTGTTCAAATGTGGTTATTTTTTAATAACATTTAAACGGCTTGACCGATCAATTTCAAAAACTAATCAGCTCTCAACATCAAAAAATCACGTCGATCGCCACCAAGCTGGTAAAAATTGGTTGATTCGTTCGTGAGTTATCGTTGACGAAAGAAATCGAAAAAAGTGTTTTTTTCGAATTACACCGAAATTTCCGGTCTGATCAATTTGTGTTTGATAAAATATCATAAAATTTGAAAAACTACGTGGAATGCCGCCAACCGCGTGAGAATCGGCTGATTCATTCGAAAGTTATTGCGATTTGAAAATTCAAAAAGTAGTGTTTTATTAAACTTCTAACAGACTTTTGAGCTCGGAGAGCTCAAAACTACTCGAAAAATATATTTTTGAGCTTAAAGAGCTCAAAAACATAATAAGTGCAATTTTGAGGGCTTTATTACGAAAGTAGCGGGAAGTTGCAAGGATGGCCGTCAGGGTCAACCGTTTTCCTAATTTTTTTCTAGCATTGAATGACTTAGACTCTCCACTAATAAAATTTACGCTCATTGATAGTAATTTATCGAGTTTAATAATTAATTTCAGTTGAGAAAGTTAATCATTTGGATACACTAATTACTGATACCCTGACAAAATCAACTAAAGTTTAGTTCAATACCAAAATAAAAGTTTTTTTTTTAATTTTGTTGCTAAAATATGTCGGTCAATAATTGGGCCCAATTTTTTACGCCTGTTGCAGTTGCTGACTCTAAGATTCTATCCTATTACAAATAAGGTTATCTGGGTATTGTTATATAAGAAAAACGCGAAAAAATAACAAATTATTGTAATATTGATTGTCAAATAAATATAAATGTATCTATTTATACGTCAAATAGTCCCGATAAATCCACACCGCGTGAATGTAAGGGCCTTTACTTTATGACTCGTCAGTTTTAAAATCCAAAAATCCTTGAAAAAATTTAGTTGGCGTTACCATACGTAGTTTATCTGTCAAAAAATCTCAAAGCTAGAAAAAAAAGTTTTAAAGTTCTCAGTTTTAAATCTTCATGCAACCAATGCTCATTCAATTGCAGATTTAAAAAAAAATAGACAAAAAAAATCTGAAAAACTTTTCACTTTTTTATTTTTAAGATTAGTGGAAAAAATTTTAGACAAATGAAAAGGGTCCTGATTAAAAATTTGCCAATATATGGTGTGGACTATACTCCACATACCTAAGAATTTAAAAATATTCAGTTTTATCTTTTTGTTTTTTTCTCTTTTTTAAAACGGATTTAGATTACGAAATAACTCAGTATTTTTCAACATAAAATTGATGATCGACCTTATAATCAATTAACAACCATATTGAGACAAGTTTAAAATAATATATTATATACATATATATTGGTTTGCGTATACGCTATAGCTGGTTCGAAACTCTCTCATTACCGTGCATGGTCGACCCAGATGTATCATCGCTTACGCAAGCATATGACTGTATCGGCGAAACGCGTAAAATGCGTTTATGCACTTATTAACAAATTCATGAAAATAATATACAATAAAGTAACTGAAAGAATCCGATAATGTAAAATATCTAAAAATAAATGATATCTAAAAAACGGTTGATCCTGTAGGTTGTTCCTACAATGTCCCGCTTGAAATGCTCAAAAGTATATCTAAAGGATATATAGATGAACTGGTCAGATAAAAAACAAAAATACTGTAAATAATAATCAGCGTAAAAAAAGTACGACACAGGTTAAAATAACATCATACGATATTCAGAAATGAGTCTGTCATTAAGAGGTAACTGAAAGGTAGTTCTGGACAGTGTCTCGGATAGCTCAAGGGAAGAGCAGTTGGCGCGATACCAAAAGATCCAGGTTCGAGTCCTGGTCTGGGCCGTCCGAATTATTTTTTCAGTTGAAATTATCTCTAATGACAAATTCTACGAATAAAAAAATAATTGTTTATGCGCGGAAGGTTCCGGCAAAAAAGTTATTATAAATATTAGTGCAATTTGCAAGTGTTCTAGGCCAGACAGCCAACAATAATTGTAAATATAATAAAAATTTACAATTTGAAAATAAATATATGATATATAGATGATTAAGATTTTTATACATAAAGATATTGTTTTTTTAATATTTACTTATGCTCTCTTTCAAGCTCACAAATTTAATCATTTCACAACTATTTTTTTTTTATTTTTAAATTACGATATCTTTCCAACGAATTAACCGATTTAGATCGAGTTCATAGCATCTGATGCAGTTTTATAATCACAAAAAATAATATTAAAACGATTTTTTTTCATTTATTTAATTAATTAATACCTATCTATTGTGCAAAACATTTCAGTATCAACGACGTAAAAAAACTAGAATATCAATAGAACATTTGAACAGAATTTAATTACTTGATCTGTCACTTTGCAAATAAAAACTTTTGATTATACACCTCTCGCCTTCTATCTACTGCTGCAGAACTATAAACTGGTCTCTGTAACTCAAACATTTTATTTAGTGTAATCATAATTATTATTACTTCTGTTTTTTAACTTATTTTTTAAAAAATAAAATAATGTCTGTCAGTTAATATCCTGTTATATTCCATTACCCAACTCAAATTTTAGTGAGGCATGCCGAAGAATCAGTTCAGGGCGAACTTGGCTTTCCGAACTTAGGCTAGCCCAATTCGGATCTTATTTGTTTTAAATTAGGCAAGCCGAACCTTAATATGCCAAAAGAATTCCACATTCGGATATAATCTCGTAATAATCTGGCACTGCCTAAGTTCAGCATGCAATGGATTGCCTAACTAGTACGAAATAACGGTAACCAAAGATGTCATAAAAATTTTCTGGAATGAATTTATTTTTACTTCCTGCCAAGAAATTGTAAACTTTTAATGACTTGTAAATAAAAGTTATTACTGATTTACATTGATGTTTGCCAACAATATGTATGACAGAAATAATTTATTTGACAAAAAAAAAAGGAAAGTATCGAAAACTACTTAAAAAAGTCTATCAATTACTAAGTTATTTTTATTTTTAAACTGAAAATAGTTTTGGAAAAAATTTTCTGCAAATTTTCAAACTCACAACTGTAAAAACAATCAAGTTATAGACAAATGAATGAACGTTTTTTGTACAGTAATGCTAGTAACGAAGCGAATAATGCGATTGCTTAGAAATCTCAAGGCCCTGTCCTTGAAACTCAGAAGAAATAAAAAAAACTATGGGATTTATCAGTAAATATAGCCTTGTTAAAATGGATAATTGTAATTTGCTGATTTCAATAATGATTATTATTATTTTTTTAGGGGCCTTATTTCATTAACGTAACAACGCGGCTTTGTTATATTAGAACTAGCAGGCTATTTAGTGACATATATTCTATTGAACAAAAAGTGGTTTACACTGATTGAATAAGTCTTAAGATTTTACTAATACTGAAGTGATTGTATTTTTCACTAATTCAAACAGTTTCGCGAGCATTAAATATTTCTTAATGGTATACTTAAATTAGGATGTGACAGATATTTATTAAGATGTACAGCGATTGATTAAAAATCCATTAAGGGGTTAGACGCAGTTGCAAGGTTAAAATAACAACATTTTTTT